TTGCGTCCTTTTGCGAGTGGCGCGATGAATTCGCTACAGCTCTCTCTCTAATCTATTACATTCGTGTTTAAATTTTTTTATTAGAATTTAATTTCTTTTTATGTGATAAAAGTACTTTTTCTAAAAAAATTATAAATAGTTTGCGAAGAAAGTAAATTGTTTATTAGATTATTTTATCAACATTACTAAAATATGACTTCAAAAATAAAAACAATAAACACAAAATTTTCATTGATATTGATTGTTTACACTGATTGGAGAATAGCTTATATTAGTATCGTAAAAGCCTATTATCTTTACACTAACGTCAATATATTGGTTTATTACCTTCTTGGCTTAAATTGTAGTATCCAGACCACTTGTAATCTCAAACTAAAGTGGGTAATAAAAATTATATATAAAATTAATTTTATTTATTAATAACTTTGATAATACGTTTCATAGTTTTATTATCTTGTAAACTAGAATAGGAAGTGACTACCGTTTACACACAATGGAAACCGAAGCCAGCCACGTACCAATAACAAAAAAAAATTTTGACCCACTCGGTTCATTTGTAGTTGGAGCATCAGGTGACGGATTGTGTTTCAACGCGTAGTCAGATTAAATCGATAAAGCCTATTGTTTAGCGATAATAAAACAATAAAAATTCGATTAGTTTAATTTAATAAACACCGATAAGATCGATAACGCTTTGTGAAGGTTGAGAGTGCAAATAAAAATTTGAAGAATCGCAAAAGTGAGGGCAGTAAATCAATATTTTTGAAAACTATTTTTTTTGAAATTTATGAAGTCTTTAAAGTAAAATATAGAATTTTTCTAAGAAATACTCGTATAATAAAATTTGATATGTCTTTGATTTGGGTATATAAATCTGTGTTTATGATTACAAACGTATTATACTATTGTTTTCATTGTGAAAAATTTTTGCACTTAGTACATTTAATATTCTTTATACTTTGATACAAATTTCATATAAGTTATATTTATATTCTTTAATATACATAAAGAATTTAATATACATAAAATAATTGACATTTATTAGATTACGGATACGGATAAGAGGATTTAACTCTCATGTCTAACTTAATAGAAGTCTTCCACTTTCTTCAAAGTTGAAGTAGCGACAAAAATCTTCCATTCTTAATAGAATAATTCATTGTGAAATTTAGAAAATTGCAAAATTATTTAATATCTGGTAATAAAAAGTAATAAGTCACATCTGAAATCTGAAATCTGAAATAAATCAAATATTTAATTTAATACTTTGAACTACTCAACTTCGTGCAATTCGTGACCAATTTTGTCATATTCAGCGGTAAAAATTACACGGCAGCACTTTGAACAAAATGAGATTATTTTATTAAATGACTGCTACTATTTGTATCTACAGATACTTGTATTAGTGCCAAAATCCACTTAACTCCAACAAAAAAATGAAAAAAATGAAAAAAAAACGCTTTTGTCATAAGTGAAATAATTCAAAATTTTGACTAAAATCGCTATTAATATGCTCTCATGCATATTAAAGTAACGAGTATCTATGCTGAAATTGTGTATGAAAATACTTTTTACAGCTCTGGACGTTGCTATAATTCAATTTAAATTAAGTGCAATTGACACGCGTAATCGTTTAATTCCCTTAGATTTGATTAAATTATGTACACTGCGATTTGATGGAAGAAAAATGCTTTTGACATTGTGTGTTCATGTCAATTGTGCGGTAAGAGCATTTATTTTGACAAAAAAATGATATGTAAAAAAAACTGAAATAATAATCATAATGATTCAACCCCACGCACAATTGACATTGAATTTTTTAATTCCATAATCGTTTTGTCTCTTCAAATAGTCTTAGATACTTTAATGTATAATTCTGGTTTTAGATATTTTGCCACTCGCTCTAGAGACAATAGTTAGAAAGTGCATAATTCTCTTTGTTCTTCCATAATATTTTCAATATTTGTTGCAGATTTAATCCACTCGCTGCGACATACGCTGATTTTCAACTCCTAATCTATATATGAAAAAAAAATGTAGGATTTATCGGTAACCTAATATGAAGTGGTTCCATATGGTACCATCGCAGTAACACCATACAAAATGAACTGAATCAAATATACCTTGATTATGAATAGAATATCTATATATTTAAGCTTACCTATTTAATTTTGACATTGAAGATGATTGATGCAAATAATCTTCAAGCGTAAACTAAAGAAGAAAATTAAAGGTGTAATAACAAATACTTTGGGACCTGCTGTATACGACAATTATCAGGCCTAATATTTTGTTCAAAACAGACCCTTTCTTGTTTTCATAAAGTGATTTTTTACAGATTTTTTATTCAAGAGTTAGAATTGTTTCAACAATTAGTTTTTTTAAGTTAGAGGAAAGGATCAAAAGTCATTGTTTGAAACTTTAACTTACTAAAAACACTATATAAGCATGATTTCTAAAAAGATATATAGTGTAATACCACAGGATCACCATGTAATACGGCAGGATCTCCATGTAAAACATTTAATGTAGTTAAAGTATAATAATAGAGGAATTTAAGTATTATGTTAGATCTCCAGCCATTTATGTTATCCTTTTAGCAGTTATTCGGATCTAAATTTAAAATTTCGGCTCCATTTCAGAAAGATGAAAACATTTATTTTTAATATTTCAGTTAATGTTTAAGTCACTGACAATGACGGAGTCTATAACTTTAATTCTAAGACTTGAGAGGGCGTGACAATATAATAGAAAATATTATATATGAAAATATGCATCCACATCGACATCTAATATAGATATACATCTATATTGTCAGTGAATTTAGACCTAATAGACCTAAATTAGACCAATTATCGCAACAAATATTATACTATTGTCTGTGTAATATAAAGGAAAGGGGAGAAACTCAATAAGAAGTTATGTCTACCAATAAAGTTTAACCAACTTTTGCATTCATGAGCATGTTTAAACGCCTTATACGGGTCAAACAACTCTTATAGACCAATTAAGTTGTCGCCTATAACGAAGATGATCCAGCTCGTTTCTTTTTATCAAGATTGCAAGCACTAAATATATATATTATATATATTAAGCCTTTATGCTCTGACTACGTGCCAGATCATTTCACTATTTAATTTGATTCATAACAAAGTTTTTATATTTAAATTTAATACTTTTTTAAGAAACGATATCAAATAAATTCGAAAAAATTAATGAAATGCTAATAGCTATAATATTAGTCAATAATTTATCTCATAAGCATAAATGTCTTTTAATAGAAATCACTTAAAGCAGATAAAACTGCTTTTAATATATCATCTATTAGGAAATAGTGATAATTGCTTGTGCAACTGATTAAGTTGAGTTTATTCTTTGATTTATCATTAATAAATGAAATTGTAGTGATATTAAAAATGGAGATGTTAACATTTATATTTGACATCTGAAGTCACATGAGTCAATCGCCTGAACCGAGGTAAACTTTTTGCCATGCAATGATCAATTTATGTATCAAAATATTTAAATAAAAAATAATTTGATTCAAAATCTAACATTTCTTGGTTCATAATCAAATATTTTAACAAATTTTATTATTTTCTTAATAATCTGTAATCAAATATTTCAGTAGCAAATATTTAATTTCCCACTTTCATGTGAACTTTATCTCTCCTATGGATCCAATGATTTCTTCTCGGCACTCCAGCGCATTTTTATCTCAATTTCGAATCTTCATTGTTAAATTTAGATAAAAATTTTGCAAATATTTAAATCTAAATTAATTTTTATGCAAATACTATATAAACAAATATTTTTGCAAATCGTAATTGACATTTTTATAAAATCTGGCATGAATGTTGATTTATTTGTTTAGAAAAAAATTTATAACAATTTTGTATAATAAAAAGCAGCTGCTTTAGCTGCCTGAGCTGCCTGAGCTGCCATAGCAGCCATAAAAAAAGTTTTAATTTTCATTATCAAATTACTTAGGCAAATTGCGAAGAGCGTCGCACTTCATCTGTAGAAAACTGCTAAAGTCAATATTTTCATTTTTGCTTTATTCCATTGTAAATTTTGTATCTATGAACAAATATTTACACACACAGCCGTACATGAATTAGGTATATAAATTGTTATCATGCGATAATATAACTGATTTTAATAATAGATGTAGAATGTCGGAGATATATGGCACGCCACAGGTACATTCGCCTAATGGCAAGCTAAATTGATACAAATATTTTAATGAGTTTCGACATGAAAGTTAAGATTTTGCACGCTTTTCTAAAATTGTTGTGTTTTTATCTAAATTATTTATACAATTTTATTTTTATTGCAGGCAATGAAATTCGTTGTTTCCTGAACGATATTCTTCATTGGAATAAAGTACAAATTTTTCAATATCAAAAGTTTTTAATTAAGAGCATTTAAGATGGAGGACTCAGTAAATAATAAACAGAATGGACACCAGTTGGAGTCATTAACGCATCCGTGAGTATCTATTATTTTAACCACATTATTTCATATCTGTAATGATTATTTTATTAATAGCTTTAAACAAAGTTTCATTAAATTAGTGTTAATTTAGTTAAATTTAGTGTAGAGTAATTTGCAGTAATAATACTAATGAAATGTATTTTACAAAACAAATTAGCAATAATAAAAGTGATATTAAACTGATTCAACTGACATGATTTTCAACTTAAGGTAGTAATGATAGCATTTATTACATTTTATTGAAATTCTTTTTAAAAATGATGTGGCTTTGTCGACATGATAATACCCTTCTTACATATGTTTGTATTACATATCTACTTAGTGGGACAAAGGGACGCAACGATTCTCTTCAACCGCACACTGTTAGGTGCTTCTCTGCATATATCGTTCCATGTGTAATGCGCTTCCGTCCTTCTCCAAGTTAAAGCCGCCGCATCAGGGCGTCTGATTGCCTTGTGGGTTCCATGTCAAAGCTTGTCGTGAAATGTATTTATTTGGTCGTCGGATAGAGTCGGGTACAGTAGCTTTTTGATTTGTTTGCAACAAAAGTTTTGCAACTGATATGTGGTTAGGTCACCATATTTTTCAAGAATTTTCCGCAGGCATTTATTTAAAAATGTTTGTATCTTCCTTTCTATCTGTTTGGAAAGCTTCCATGTTTCGCAGTCATATTAAAGGACTACTTTTACATTTGAATTGTATTACATATTAATTACCTGTAATTTGCAAAAGTTTTTCGAATCCTTAGTCTTCAGTTTTGTTCTAGATCAAATTCAAATACATTTACATATTGTCACAAAAAAATTGTACTCAGACAGATTCCTATATAGACGTGTTTTTACTTTATATAGACGATGTGGTAACACATCTATCTGGAGGCACAAATATAAATGATGGAAATATTAAAACTCTTTTATAAGCAGATGATATCGTTCCTTTAGCAAGTCCGGATTGCAAAATATGGTGAATAAGCTACGCAGTTACTTTAAGCTATATTATATATAAAACAAGCAACAGATAATGCCTCTACAAACAGAATAGAATTAAAGTTTAACAATTAAAAATAAAAATATAATTAATTAATTCAATTATTCTACAGCTGGTTTATGATTTCGTTCCAATATATAATAAAACTTTCACAGCTAATTAAAAAAAAACACCAGAACGAACATATTTATGTACGAACATAAAAAGCCAAGTACGGCTTTGAATCAGTTGTTTAAGGTGCGCTGACTCTGAGCTTCAAATTTGGCGGGGCACGAGTTCGATTTCTGACACTTGCAGTCTCCAAAAATTATTTACGAATAATTAAATACAAGAATTATTTCCAAGACCACTGATGATGAGTATTTGACAATACTCGAAATAGCTGTATGTATAGCCAAAAAATTCAACTAATTAAAATAATATAAAATGAATTTTTGTTGTTGTAGTTCATCACTGTTCTTAAAACCTATGGGGGTAACAGTTAATATTTTGGAATCAAAAGCGCTAGTCTTTGAAAAGCATCACAGGTGATATACAAATGAGGATATATGGACATTAGTAGGAAAATATATATAAAAATAGTTAAGGAATAGAAATATTTTGTAACATGGGTGTATTAAAATACTACATTTAATAGACATTTAACTGAAAAATTGAGGGAAGCTAAAAGAGCTAACTACTAATAGAAAAGTATTTTTAAAAATAAAGATGTACCATTCAAAATTTCAAAACTCTACGAAGTTACTCCAAGATCAATAAATTGCAATGCGGCACAGATATAGGGAGTTCTCTAATATGAGAAAGTGGAAAAACGTAGTTTTTTTTATAAAAAATATATAGCGATTACCGTTTAACACACCCACCCGAATGATTTGTTTGGAGACTGGCGTGTCACCTTTGTACTTGTGTACTTTAGAAATCCATTTTAAGTATATGCTAAAAGTTTTTAAGATCCTTAATTGGAGGCTCCATGCTCCAAGTAGAAGGACAGTACAGGATAGGGCAGTAAAAATGTGTCATTATAGTTACTTTGTCAAAGTAAATTGGCATCAGATATAATATTTTAAATAATACCTTAACGTTATATCTTAATATTGTATTTTGTTTTGCATTAGTAAGTTGTTGGGTCAATAAAAAATATTAGATAGGCTTTTAAAATATTTAAATAGAATATAAATACATATATTGTATAAACTATCTTGAAAAAATTCTGATAAATAACTTGCAATAAATCCAATATTTTGTTTGAAAATTGGAACAATAAAGATTCAACGCAGATCTCTTATTCTTTAATAATAAATACCTGTATATTGTTTAATAAATTGCAAAAGTATCTAACCCATTAACTGAACACGTTTCTCGAGTACTATTTTTTCAGGTGTTTTACTCGAAAAAATATACAAACAAGACTTCAGTGGTAAGCTTGGGTAAGCCGTACGCGGATACTGTTTTATCTTTTCGTATCTTGTAGCGCCTTATTGTGGCGTATGGTCTTTCATTGTATCTAATTACAAAATCTATTTCAGTTAGTTAGTAACTTGTGAAAGGAATTGCTTATAACTTACACCATTGGTGTGTTTTTGCATAATTACTGATATTGTGTTACTTACTTCTTAATGTCGTATGCTCGATGATTATTAAATATAATAACTACTTCAAAAGTTATTTAACCGGAAAGCTTAAAATATTCACCATTAAATAATATTTATTAAATAATAAAACTATAATGAATAATTAAATGCAAAATGCAGATTTTCAATCAATACTAAGCTATATTTAAATATTCCAAGACAACAGTTAGAAAGACTTGTTATGGTTCTTGTTATTTACTCGTAAGTCCATGAAGTGGCGCTCGGGGCGTAAATTCTATGATAAATTGAAATTCTTTAGCGCAAATCAATTTTACACAGTTTCATAGAAAAATTTCATAGATACAGTATCGCTAAATATATGAATAGATTTAATAAAAACTATTTTTTTGTAGTATGAATTGTTAGATTCATAAACAAAATAAATCAGTTTTCATTAATTTTTAATTAAAATTTTGAAAATTTCAGTTAATTTAGTTAATTGGGTATTTAAATTAATGTAATAGTTATAAGTTTAATCAATATATTTTTCTCCACCTTATGGTTAAAATATTTAAATTGAATAGTTAAATCGTTTAATAAATTCAATTATGTCTTAAATATATAGTAGTAGTAAGATATAGTTTTCAAAATAATGAATTCAATTAATGAATTATCAAGAATACAGGGAAACAGGGAATACAGGGAAAGAGTTATCTCTTTATATCTTCACTCAGATAGTAAAGACTTTACACGTAGTTATGATATAAATTTATTTTTTTTCTTAATCAACTATATTAGCCATACTTAAGAAAATTATTTTATATGAGTTCAAAAGACTTAATTAACCATTTACTTACTTAATTTACTAGTTACTTAGCATTCTTAATTTACTTAACTTTTTTAACTTACTTCACTTAACTTACTCAAACTCAACTAAAGATTTGAACTACCTATAAAAGGAGGTTGTACAAGGTATCATTCGATTAGCTTGAAAAGTAAATGATTATTCATTCATTTGATCTCCTGATAATCGAATTTCAGGAAACTAGATACAGTCATGTCCCCCACAAACGATTGTAAAGCTATAAACACATGACAGCGTAGATGCAAAAATTTAGAGAAAGGTAGATGGACTCACTCCCTGACTCTGGAGTGAAAATACGCTATTACTTCACACAAGTGGTTATAGATATCTTCACCTATTTAATTACAATGAAGAGTATTATTACTTCAACTGTATAGGAGAAATCGAATATTCTAGACATACATTGTGACCGAAAGGTTTTCGGAGGTTCTCATTTAAAATTCGCGCGCTGTATATTTTTCGATATTTTAAGTTTATGTAGTTTGGCAGCACTGTCCTTAATTACTATGCCAAAAATGAGCGCGATCTGTCAGACAGTTCGTTTACGGCAGCTGTTGAAACCAGTTCCCCTCAGTAGTGCGTTGCGAAAAAACAATGGAAAAAAATATTGAACAAAGAGTTTGCATCAAATTTTGTGTTTCGAACGAAATTTCGTGTGCAGAATCGTTGCGAATGCTACAAAAGGCTTATGGGTAATCAGTTTTATCGAAAACTCAAGTTTATGAGTGGTACAAAGCCTTTCAGGACGGTCGTACGACCGTCGAAGACATGCCGCGTTCTGGACGACCTTCGGCCTCTACCACCGACGAAAACATTGAAAAGGCAAAGGAAATCGTGTTCCAAAATCCTCATGTGAGTGTTAGAGAGATAGCACGAGAGCTAGGCATCGGTCGTGAGAGCTATCCGCCGTAAACGGCCTCAATTGTGGAAGGATAATTCATGGATTTTTCATGACGATAATGCTCCCTCGCACCGAGCCAACATTATCAACGATTTTAAGGCCAAACATTCAATAAATACCATCAAACAGCCACCGTATTCACCTGATCTTGCACCGTGTGACTTTTTCCTGTTTCCCAAACTCAAATTACCACTCAGAGGAACGCGTTTTGAATCCATAGAAGACGAAAAACAGAATTCGCAGAGGGAACTCAAAGCCATACCGGAAAGCGCCTATAAAAAAATGTTTTGATGATTGGAAGAAACGTTGGCATTTGTGTATCGCTTCTAATGGAGCATATTTTGAAGGAGATAAAATAAATATTGATGAAGATTAAGAATTTTGCGTTTTATTTAAAATTTCCGGAAGCTTTTCGGTCACAATGTATGCTCTTCACGTATACTCGTTTCATTTCCGCTAGAAACATGATAAACGATGCCTTTGGAGATCCCGTTACCGCAGTCTTCTGCATACAATCTAACTGCAAAAATGATTCGCACCTGTGATGTATGTAAACCGTCAAAAGTTTTAGTCACTAAAGAACTGAAATAATTGCGTGGCATTATACGATCCAGAGCAATTGAGCAATCCTAAAGTGAGGCGATCTTCTCCATCAGAGCACAGTGACGAACGTGTACAACCTAACAAGCACTTTGATTAAATAATTTATTGTGGTTCCATTTTCCATTTAGACGTAGAAGATATGATTTTTAGTGCGGTTGAGGTTCCCCTTTCACACTTAATAGAGCGATGCTTTTGAGTACTGTTTAAAAAAAAGACAAAAAAAAGATAGAATGACACATAACTGGACTTGGAGGTCGACATATATGTAAACGCATAGGTATAAACATACGTAGATATACAGGTTGACTCACAGTTAGGCACGAAAGTAAATTCATAAATAAGCACATAAGTAGACACATAGGTAGACATGTAGATGGACTTTTAGGTAAACACAGACTTTGGGAGAAATTGAGTGACAAGATAGATGAAACAGATCAAATTTTTTAAACATTGGTTGCATTCTTTTTACTAAAAGTTGATACCCAGAAATTTTTTTTTCTTTGTACATACATTATTTTCTGATAGAATGTCACAAAGTCTTTTATACCAGGTATGTCATATTGTCTTCGCCGTAATTTCTTTGCATATGATTTTAGTTGTTTCATTTGGTCAGTAGACATATTCTTATTTTGTGAATAATAAAAATTTATCAAAATATTTTAAATAATCGGGGGAAAATATAAGTATCATTCAAATTCTTATAAGTATTTCAATCCCAGACACAACCGGCTAATGTTTGATGGAATAGGAAATAGGTCGATGCTTCCTATTTGCATTAATATTATAGTAAAAAGCTTTAAAGCAGTCCAGCAATCATTATAAGAGGCGACAAGAAGACTTATTGGATGTTCAAAGGCCCACTTTGTGTACTTTATGTGTATAGTTTTATTGTAGGTTTATGTACAGTCCCGAACAATTCATCAAATTCTAAAATCAGTCAAACTAATTATAAGTTATTAGTATAATAAGCAACATATGATGTATATTGAATTGTACTAGTACTTAACTAACTAATATCTAACTTTCCCTTCCTTCCATTTATTGTAATTTCAATCAATTTGAACAACTTTAATAAGTGATGATAACAATAAAAATCAATATATCACTGATTGCAATGCAATTCCATTAAGTGATACGTAGCCGTAAATTGGTTAAAGTATTATCTATTGAAATTTATCTGCGATACGAGTATAAGTTATTCATTATCTAAAGAAAGATTATAATGTGAAAATAAATTAAAATTAAAATTAAACTCATCAAATCCACAGTAACTCACAAATCAACCTCAAATAATCAACAGCAAATCCGACACAGCCAAGAAAAAAGTTGAAAGCGAAAGTAACTTAAGTTACCGCATTTTCAATTCGTTATTGTTGTTGTAGTGATAATTTCAAACGCTGCAGGCGACCGCAATGCGGTTAACCTTGCCGTTGCTCTAACATACGCCACAGCTGATTAAGCGCATGGGCGCTAACAAACGTTGCTACCGTAGAGACACTTATCTCCTCTCATCTTACCTCACTTCAACTTTGCATATTCAAATTTTGAAATTTCTTTGTCTTTATTAATTTGAACTTTTATTTTCTTACTTTCAGTGAAGAAATTGCTGAAGCTGAACCACTGTCATGGAGATTTTGGAGGAAACGCCGGTACATCGTAGTGCTGTTGGCCTTTTTTGGTTTCTTCAACGTCTACTCGATGCGTGTAAATTTGAGTGTGGCAATTGTAGCAATGACGGAGAACCGCACGACAATTGACGCCAACGGTGTGGAAACGGTCGGACCTGAGTTTCCTTGGGACTCCAAACAAAAAGGACTTATACTCAGTTCATTCTTCTATGGCTATATACTGACACAATTCGCGGGCGGTTTTATTAGTTCGAAAATAGGTGGCAATATTGTAAGTCCTATTAATTGAACATAAAATGAATAATTAATTTCAAATATATTTTGTTGACTTCATCAGGTTTTTGGCATAGGCATTGGTGCCACTGCTATATTGACACTATTCACACCAATGGCTGCGAAACATAGTTTGGATGCCTTCATTGCTGTTCGTATTATTGAAGGTTTCTTCGAAGGTGTGACTTTCCCTTGCATACACGCCGTCTGGTCACGTTGGTCACCGCCACTAGAGCGTTCACGTATGGCTTCCATTGCATTTGCTGGTAACTATGCAGGCACTGTCGTGGCTATGCCAGCGTCAGGCTTACTTGCCACTGCTTACGGTTGGGAGAGCGTCTTCTATGTGTTTGGTACCATTGGTTGCCTTTGGTTAATACTTTGGTTCATTATTGTGCGTTCTGGACCTGACAGAGATCGTTTCTGCTCACAAGACGAACGTGAATATATACAAAAAACTATTGGCTACACTAGTGAACAAAAAGTAACACATCCCTGGAGAGCTATATTCACTTCACTGCCGTTTTATGCTATTATTGCTTCACATTTCTCTGAAAATTGGGGTTTCTATACCTTACTTACGCAATTGCCTACTTTCCTTAGAGGTAAAGTCATAAGTTCAATGTATTTTGTATAGTCAAATTAAAAATTATAATAATTTTTGTTTTCCAGATACACTTGAATTCAATTTGGACAAAACTGGTTTCCTTGCTGCGGTACCATATTTGGCTATGGGTATCCTCTTGGGTGTTTCCGGTTACTTGGCCGATATGTTGCAAGTCAAGGGTATTCTTACTACGACCCAAGTCCGTCGCTATTTCAACTGTGGCGCATTCTTGGCACAAACTGTTTTCATGGTATTGACAGCTTACCTATTGGATCCAACTTGGTCGGTTGTTTGCATCACCATTGCTGTAGGCTTAGGTGCTTTTGCCTGGTCTGGATTTGCGTAAGTCACAACAGTGTTACTTTTTAAGCTTCATTAGAATAAAATTGCATTCTGTTAAATCTTCTCTTGCAGTGTAAATCACTTGGATATAGCGCCACAACATGCCAGTTTGCTTATGGGTATTGGTAATACCATTGCTACTGTTCCTGGTATTGTCAGTCCTATGTTGACTGGTTACCTTGTTGTTGATGGTACAAGTGATGAATGGAAAGCTGTCTTCTTTATCTCAGCTGGTATTTACTGCATCGGCTGCATTATTTATTGGATTTGGGCGTCAGGTGAACTACAAGAATGGGCTATGACTCCAGAACAAAGAGCGGCAGCATTAGAACAGAAAGCACAAAAGAATGGTCATACAAATGAAGCGCTCGAGCTGAAGGAATAACGAAAACCATTGTGAGCGAAACCTTTATGGCGTATCAAATTAAAATGATACTAATTTTATATTTAAGAAAAAAAATGCCAATGTATTATTACCTTTATTTTAATTTTTATTACTATTACAGTTATTATTATGATACTGTTTGTTATTGTAATATTTTGTTGTTTTATACAACCGTTTTTAGTTAATAATATAGAGTGTAAGTCGACTTGTCAGTAAACTACAGGTACAATCGAGCATCCTAAAAGCATGCTACATAAATGTTTATGCAATAGCGTAGTTCAGAAAAAAGGTTGCCATATTTGAATTATTTTGTGAAAATATAAAAAATTTAATTATTAATTATTTTTGTTATATGATATATAATTATATATAAAAAAATATATTTATTTGATTCAACAATCTCCAGTAAAATTTTATGTATTCGAGTACTCTTGATGTGCTATGCAACATATGTTGATATTGACTATTTCAATATCTAAACAGCGAAAATAGTTAAAATTGTATTAGAATAAGAATTACGATTTAAAACAATAAATATTTAAAATATATTGTATTTGAGTTTTACATTTAAAGATTTTTCTGCTAATCGTCTTTCATGGTATTAAGTCATTGACTAAAAATTGGTTGTACTGCGCCAATTTTATTATAGATTGTGTTGAAAAATAATAAAAACCCACGATAAATTTTTTACTAGCTTTAATTATGTCTTGGTTTTACTTAAAAAATCTGTATTAATTTAAAGATTACAATTTAAATTTATGATTAAAAAACACACAATATAAATTTACACACCTAGCAATCATAATAGGAAAAAGAAAGGCAAATGGAAATTCATTAACTGACTACAGAAATTATTATATCAAGTGTTAGCTGTTTATTATGATTGACAGACAAGAAATACTTATATAAGCTCCATATATTGGAAAAAGAACAATAGATAAAGAAATATATATGTATAGTTTATCTAAGAAATTGGGCTCGGAGAAATACTTCGAAACCGTGAGGAGTGCACAATACATCTCTAAATTGTAGTTTAAAATACTCCAACAAATTAATAATAAAAATCTTTTCGCAATTTGCATAATAGACTACTGTAACCAATAACATAACATGCCTTCCTTCCATCTCAATAATTTGCGAGGTGGCGGATTATAAATCCATATTTTTTGTTTCCTTGCGCCATGTTGTTGGATCTTTTACAGTGTGTATAGCTTCACTTAACGTTTCTTCAGGAAGACGCTGTAATTGATCCACTCAACGTGTAGGCAACTGTCCTCGTAGGCTACTTACTTTGCTTACTTTTCCCTCTACAAACAGTTGTTCCAGAGTTCCTGATCACCTCGCTACGTGGCCAAAGTAGGTTAAGTATGAGTTGGAAATCATTTTTATAAGGCTGGTCTTTACATTAATTCTTCGAGTATAGAGACGTTTGGTGAGCAGTCCGTAGAATTCTTAACTGTCTTCTATAGACCCACAGTTCGAATTCCTTTATCTTCTATTTGTCCAATTTTTTTATAGTCCATATTTCGGTTGCATAGGAAGCTATAGTAGGTTTTTTATAGCTCTATCTTTTCATATTTTTATAAGTTTTGTTGTTGCAAATCTTGCTGCCAGTGTTAGTTAAGAGGGATCCCAAATATTTCAATTTATCTGCTACCTTGAAACCTGCAATCGTCGCTACATTTGACTAGTTGTTATTTTATCTGTCAACTATCACAATTTCTGCATCAATAGGACGAGCTCTCCTTCACTGAATCCTGTAATAAGTGTGTCCACATAACTCACACTATAGATATGCCGCATTTCCGATTTTCAATAAACAATATTGGCGAAGAAATGCAGCCATGCTTAGTGCCAGCTTCAGCTTTGAACACATTAGATGCCTCTCACTTTCGCTTCATTGTTATTAAAAAGGCTTTTTATTATGTTGATCAGGTGAATTGCTATACCAAACTTCCCTAAAATCGACTATAAATGATTCCATCTAACGGAATCGAACGCTTTAGTGTAGTCCAAAAAACAAAAGTAGATTGGAATGTTAAATTCTCGTGCCATATCTATTATTTGCCGGACGTTCAGGATTTGCTCTTTTGCGTCTTTTCCGGGAACAAATCCACTTCGTTCTTCCGCTATTTGGAGCTAACCCCAAGAAAGAAACTCGTGCAGTTGAACTTGTACTAACACTATTGATTAAGATAGGATAAGATAGGAATCAAGTTGCATAGAGGTAAAATATGTTAAAAATATTGAGTAGTCAGAATAATTCATAAAATTCGGATGCTAAGGTGCAAATGATTAAACTTTGATTAACCAATTATCATAATTATTAATGATATAATTAGCAATTAATTATTAATAATTATTATTCATAAGTATTTACCAATTGTAATTGTACTCAATGGTTATTTTTATTCTGTATAAATAATATTAAATTAATTTTAAATACTTCATATTGATTTTAACATTTGTGAATAATTAGATGGTTTTCTTGAATCTATAAGTAAAATTTTTAAACAAAATCTCTTTTATTTATTCACCTTTCATCAAGGCCAACAAACAAACATCAGAATCGTAACCAATTAGTATCTTTTCTTGAGTTATCGGAGCAATTAAATAATAAACAAAAGAAATGTTTCAATTTATTTTATTTTTTTCCAAATAACATTAATTTTTTTTTCATTTTCTTCCAAATTCAATAGTAAATAAAACGCAATAAGCAAAAATTCCAATGCCCACCTGCAAAACAAATCTTTATTTTAATTGTTCCCAATTATAATAAACTTTTATTATTCCATATTTTTGTTTTTTTTTTGTTGTATTAATTCGACCAAAACAAAAGCATCTGTTGTTTATCTCGGAAAACTTCTTGCGAAACATCCGAAATTGACATTTTATTATTGGGTGCTCGCCTCGCACCCAAGCATTCAAGCATCCAAGCACCCAAAACATTCCAAGCAGAGGCCAATACACTCTGCAATTGCGAAATAATTAATAATCACACGGACGAAAATAATCGGCCGATCCGATGCTCAGAATTCGGATATTCTCAGTGAGGATGAGAAGCATAGATTTTTTAGTTTATTAAAATTGAGTACGGAAAGATATTTTAATTATGCATTTGTTTTGGCAAAACGCCCAGATCAATTTTAATCGAAATTAACAACGAAATTTTTGGAATTCCTCAGCTACAAATCCGCTACCTCTGCCTCTGTCGCTGTCGGTGCCGGTGTCGGTGCCGCTTTGTAAATTTGTAAATCAAAGAATTTGTGTAGGTTGCGTACGCCTAATTGTTGATGAATTTTTATCTGAGATGCGATAAATATTTGGCGTATACACTAATTGTTTTATTAAGTTTCATAAAATACCACATATTTCAAAATATTTATTGAAAACAAAGCAAAAGAGTGTACTTAAACTTAAAAGCATTTCCTTTCAGATATTAATATAGAGAGTTAGTCCTGATTTGGTAGCACTATTTTAGTTTCAGCATTATTCTATGTTAAGTAAATTTGGCGGTCCAGGACTTCATATACTTGGTTTAAGATATGTCATAAGGATCGCCTATAAATCATTAAATTTTTAAACCATGACAAAAATGAAGGTATTAAACTAGGTATATTTCGTGTATTACGAAGAGATTGTGGCTAGCATATCTGAGGGGTCTATATCAAAACAATACAGAAATTTGAAGATATGAAGAGTCTACAACGATTACGGTAAGATTTACAACATCTTTACAACATGTTTCCGGCTTAGAATATTGTCACTGTTAGTATAAGTATCAAAACTACCTATATGTATCCGTAATATCCGTGGACAGTATTTGATCTTATTTTACGGCACTACCTCCGAATATGTAGCAACCTTTTATGTAAGGCAGTTTAACGCCTTATAGAGGCAGTATAATCAATATAATATAAATATAAATAATCTATATCGAAGCACATGTAGTTGTAAAAGTTATAATCAATAGACACCGATGGATGGGTTTTCTTTCTCTCATGAGTGAAAAAGAGCATTATTGGAGAACCTTTTGCCGCATATTTTATGTTAAGCGGATCTTTAGGATCATATCTCCCTGATCCTAAGAATCCCGAATTGGGCGATTGTTGTTCAACGAATTTCGTTAAATGTAATTAAGTTTGACATATTAGTACACATTATGGAATTACATTTATTTCTTGAAAAACTCAGCTCACACAAGAACTTAACCCGTCAGGTGATGCAATGCGATAAAAATGATTTTATGCTTAATTGATATATCACACATAGGGCAGTGAGAATCCCTTAGTCACTGTCAAAATACCATCATATCAAGGTATGATGAAAAATTGAGAAAAAAAAATAGAAAAAATTGAGAATATGGATTTGATCAACAGGACACGGCGTCCTCTTTTCCCTTTGTTGTGAAAGAAAATTGACTGACTTGTAGTTTTATTTTTAAATAATATGAAGAAATGCATGTTAAACACTTTCTGACTTTTTGATTTTTTTGTAGGATTATGAGAACCATCCTCAAATTTGCAAACTTGTTGAATATAACCATTCTTTACGTTATGATTAGGCTATCGCTGACTATGTACTGAGATGTTTTATTAATTGTCTCAGAAAGATCCAGTAAGATCATTTCAATGTTGTGATTTTCACTAGAAAGCAAGATCTCAATAACAAGTATCAATTATTCATAAATATTTTCGAGAACTCGAAGCTTGACAACCCTACATTATGAGAATATTGGGTACATAAGTAAAATCTTTCATCAATTTTTCTCTATTTCATAAAAAAACTATTTATTTTGAAAATGCACAGACTTTCTGAACATTTCTCTAACTTCTAGTCCAGTCCAGTCTTTGGTCCGGTGGTCTGCGGACCATAGGTGGTTAGCGAGATGGTTAAAGATAGTCCGTGATTAAAATTTAACAAGTATGTATAAATAGCTTGCAGTTTGTCCACTGAGACTTCACTTATTAGAAGTAAACATAAAAAATTTCCAAGTTATTATGTACCTATTTTATAGCCTATATACTGCACGTATACATTTATGCAATCCATTATACATTATATCAGAGATGCTTTAAGCATATTAAAACATCCATACAGTTCATTATTCT